ACATGAAACAGTTTCACTGGGTTGTATCAGTGATGAAGATGAAACATGATGAGGATAAAATGTGATGTGGGTGAAACATGATATAAGTGAAATGTGATACATATGAAATGCTGATGTAGGTGAAACACATCAAGTGATAGGATCAGTTGTAATGGTACAGGGTCAATGATGAATAGTTAGGAGAAGAAAAAGAACCCCCCCTGAAGTTGTAACATTACCCCCCTCTCCAGATTTGTTGTTAGAGTTGCCATTGTGCACGACATTCTTTTAAATATCCTGGTTCATCAGTGGGACAAGGAGATTGTCTGGGCTGAACATCAATGGCAGTGCGGAATTTTTGATGTGAGTGCAGTAGTCCACAGGAGGAACATACCCAATGCCAGCACTCACTCTGTAGATGTCCCTTGCCTTTGCATTTAGCATAGAAGCAGAGTTGTTGGGGCATGGCGCCGGAAGAGGGAGTGATAATTGAAAATTCATGGTATTTGAGTCGTTCCTCCAGGTTGGCAGCCCTGAGACGAGTTCCACACTGGCTCATTTCTTCCTTGGTACGCAGGGGTTCTGTGCCAATGGATCTTTGTGCAGCAAGTAACAGGTCAATTTTGGTATCCACGGCCCTGAGACGATTGACTTCATCAGTCACACCTGGATCCCTAAGGTCCTGTAAGGATGCCCAAAGACTTTCTAATAAGTTGTTGTCTCACATCAGCAAATATTCCCAAGTATCCTCCTCTCATTCCTTGTCCAAAGAGTTCTAGTTCCCTACAGGTTCTGTGGTGCGGAGTGCTGCTGCTGTAGTAGTTGATACCTGTTGCAATCCAAACACTGGGTTGCCATTGATGGGGATGCTCATAGGAGGTCATGTAACAAAATTGGCATAGGCTCCAGGAAAATAAGGCAGAACCCGTTCCAGGGGATCAACATCTTGGACAGGGGTAGAGGTATTGAAGGAAATTGATTGCCATGCCCTTGTGATGTCATTGGTGGGACATTGGATCATGTCATTGCTGTAGACCACAAATTCCTGAGGGTTGCTGCTGTGACCTCCTTCAAATGCTATAACATACTCGCTGATGTTGGCAAGAAGTTGGAGATTAGGGGCAAATGTGATGCTGCCATTATCAGAGACATTGGAGGTGAGAGGCGGCATGTTGGGAGAATCAGTAGATGCAGTGGTGGGACTGTCAGGGTTTGGGGAGGATGAGACATTTATAGGTGACAAGGATGAGAAGACTTGTATAGGGGCAACATGGTAAGATCCAGTGGATACTTCCGAGGTATTTTGGGGGATTTCCAGGGGACCAGGGAATTGATGCAAGACTATAGCATCGCTGTTGGAAGTCTCTGAAGGACCTGGAATCAGGAATGGCTGGCAGGTGACATTTGATAGGGGTGCAAAAGGGTATCGGATACCTCCTTCATCAAGGAATTCTAGTGAAGAATCATCGGATTCCTGCTGAGAAGGAAAACTTGGACTGGAGTCAGCATTTCTATGATTCCAGCTGTGAACCGCTCTTCCAGTGTTTGGAGATGGGAAGGGTAGGGAGTTGGTGCTCTCTGTGCACCAGATGTCAGAGAATTATTGTTCCTAGCAGGACCCAGAGGACAGCAGTATGGATTGGGGGTAGAGGGAGTTGCATTGTTGTTTCTAGTGTGAGTGTTCCACTCAGCAGGCATAGGGAGGCAGTGAGGAAGTTTTCTTGAAAGAAGAAGAGAAAAACAAGATATGGAGTACAACAGGAGCAAGTACTATGGACAAAGAAAGATCCCAGACACTAAGCTTGATGCTCCTGGATGTACTCAAAGTACACTTGTGTTGGGTTGTTTGAGTCGCAGTTAGTGGCAATTACTGAGAGGTTGGTGGTGGTATGGGGGAGGGGGTGCTGGGCAGTGGCAGCAATATTGAATGCCCACTGATACTTGCGTTTGAGGTGGTGGATGGTGAGA